CACACACACACACACACACACAAACACACACACACAAACATACGCACCGGGAAGCGCAGCGACACTCACTGTGCTGCTGCTGCCGCTTGCTGATGGTGGGCCGGCCATCGATCGTCTGTCTTCTGTGCACAGCTCATCATTGCGTACAGTGGGCGAGCGCCAATGAGGCAAAAATTTTTTTGCCACCTAATGATTGTTTTTGATGACAGTAGTGCTGCTACTGCTGTTTTCGTTGGCGATGTTGGTGAAGAAAGCAACGGTAACTGCTAGTAGTTCGTTTGGGCGCTTTTCTCGGTCAAGTGTCTTTTATTATTTTTGTTGTCAGGTATTGCTGATTTGCAAATAAAAGAAAATCAGTTTTTTTTCATTTAGGAGTCAGCAGGAGCTTTTTGGAATGTTGCTGTTGCTAATGTTACTGTTATTTTTGTTGTATTTGCAATCTGGTTCCTGATTGAAAGGCGTGCTCCATCATAATCATATATTCATTTGTATCATGTTATTATATCCGCTCTACCTTTAATAATTTGCTTACATCTCTATAGAAGAATTTTTTTTTGTGACGACAAGATGGCACGCTTGTTGGAATTATTCGTTTATCATGGGATTTTTTGTTCTGGAACTAACTAACTACACGGAATAAGTGTGCTTAATGGGTTAGCCGAAGGAAAAAGATGAAACAAGAAATGACAAACAGTGAGTTGGAAGACGGGGTAAAGCATAAGTCATACATACCTCTTTAATGTTTTTGGTTTCTTTTATTACGGCAGAAAGGACTTGCATAGGGTATGCTTGTTAGTGGCTGTATTCTCAACGGTGGAAGGATGGAAGAGTTGTTGACTATGGTTTATGATTTAGGGCGTATGGCAGGAACAGAACTCGTGGAGGTTGTTTTTTCATTTTGTGGGAGAGATTCATTAGGGATTCGCAGTTTAATATGTCATTAGATGAATTGTGGTAACCGAATTGATTGCTTTTGCTGTTATCAGTCGGCTATGTTTTTGATGGAAAAATTTTCAAGGAAGGTAGTAGATTAAGTGGTGGGGATGAGGGCAGAAGGGAACTGGTAAGGTAGACCGGTTGCGAGATTAAGTGGAAGTTGTTTTTTGATCTACAATTTTTTTTTTTTTTGCGCATTGTACTGATATGATTCAGGACAGTTGTAGTCGATTCGTTATGATTTGAATTATCTTGTTTTACGGAGTCTCTTTTAATCTTCAGACTTTGAACCAGGTGAAAGTTATCTTGTCGTTTTTTTTTGAAAGACGTGAAGTTTTGTATATCGAGTTTTCTGCTTTTTCTCTGTTTCGGTCGTATGCTAAACAAGCTGGTTGCTTTTTGCGTTGTATTTCTAACTGCTTTTTTTGTTTCACTGCTTTTTATTGCTTTGTTTTATTGTAATTTTCTGTACCCTTTGAATCTCATATAATTGTTCAGTGGTATTTCCTACCGCAGCTTTCTTCATCCTTGCCATAAGTGGAGTCCTTTTACTATGTTTTAGTTCCGTTGGTCTGGATACTTTGATGCAGAAATTGAGTTTGAGGCAAAGTTGTGGAAAGAAGCTGGAAATTGAGAGGGCGATAATTTGTTAGTAAACGGCAGTTGATAATACTATTTGTGTTTTAGAAGTTTTTGTGCGATTACTTTTTATCACTTCTCAGGAACCTTGCGTTTTGATGCATTCGAAATGTCATAGCTTTTCAAGTGTTACTTTCAACTGTTGCAACGGTTTATCTGTAGAGGTATCCTTGATGTTTCATAACTTACACATTTAGTCTCTTTCAACTATTTCGCTCAGTTAGTTTTAGTTAGTTCCTATTCATTTTTGTTAAAAAAACAGTTTTTTTTTCTGATTTGTGCTAGTTAATAAGGTATGGCTTTTAAGTCAAACTATAGTCAGCAGAATATTTTGCTTTCCGTTTCAGCTTTGAAATTTTTCGCTGGGAGTGTATTGGAATTACCTTTTGATGGTTTGAGATGCTGAATCCGTTCCGTCATAAAAGAAGAAAAAAAGATTTGAGCACATAAGGAAAGTGTTTCTTCAGTTAATTAATTAGTTATTTAATTATCTGTAGTTGTTACTAAACTCATAGTGACAATTGATTTGGTATTACAATGATTTAGCAGGGAATGAAAAAAAATTTTCATCAGAAATCTCCGTGAACGGCAAAAAAATATCTTTCTTTTATATTTTAGACGTTGAACCAGCAGGATTGTAACGGTTAGCAAATGTTATTTTTTACTTTTCATTATCATTTTCTGTCGAGTTGTTTAAGTCTGGTTATCTGGCACTTAACAAGGCCAAAAAGTGGAACTTCCTATCGATTTGAGAGATGCGGCATAAAAAATAAAAAAAAGGGAGAGGTAGAGAGGAGAAGAAAAATGTCAGCCGAAACGGGAAGTTTTGTGAAGTCGTTTAGTTAGTCAGTCAGTTATCTGTAGTTGTTACTGACACGGTCGGTATGAATTGGTGAGGGGATTAAATAGGGAAGGGGAAATTAAGTTACGTAAGTAGCATTTTATGTAGTGAGTAGACTTCTAGGCTTTTCTCGAGTAATCCGTTTTCTGTTGTTTTTTCATTATTATATATTTGGAACTGTTGGACTTTTGATCAGTGAAACATTTTGATCATATCAAGTGGATGTTTAGTGGAAGATTAAAAAGTAGAAATTTGTGGTGGTACGCCTTTGGTTGTTACTTAATAGATTTTGTTTTTTGCGTTTTGTTTATGAAACAGAAAGAAAGAACCATAAACAACTTCGTCTTTACATTTTTAGTATAAGGAGAGAACGATGAAGAGTTACGGGTAAAAAGTCAACATTTTCGAGCGTTTTCTTTTCAGGTAATTTTTCTATTCTGAAACGTCCAAGAAAAATTCTTCTAAATGAGTCACTGAAAAGAAGAAAGAGCGAAAGGCTTGTTTGAAGTTGTTCCTGTTTTCACTTTTCGTTTTCCAGCTTAGTTTTTCATCTGGAATTTGGCTGTTGAATACCACTTTTCTATTCGGTAGCGATTTATTTCATTTGAAGACGAGTGGAGACTACTTTAACTAACTTCTTGATCGTACTATTTCTTGCACTATATTTCTATTTTGCCTGTTTTGTTTGGTTTAAACGTTAATCAGCACTTTTCTTGCTTGTTCACGGGGTTTTTTAAATTGTATGTTTTATTGTTGCAAGATAATTGTTGCTCCGAAATGAGAGAAAAATGAGTGGGAATTGTTTGGAATGGCGCTGATAAGAAAGAAGTAAAAAATATATTTTTGGTCTGATTGTTTCGCAGGAAAAAAATAAATAAATAAATAAAGTAACCTGACAACAACACAACTTGCGGAATCTTTCAACTTGCCGTAGTCATGAAGATTATTCATCTACCGCTTTCGGTTTTAATGATTATTTTTGCACGTGTTAACCGTAACTTAAGAAACTTTTGCTTGTATTTTGATCATTTTCCACATTTGGAAGCTCATTTCTTGTTGCAGGTTTTTTGCAATGCTAGATACGTAACCGGTACCCACACGTTGTGAAGTAGGAAAGGAAATGCCTGTAATTGATCGTTTAAAAAAATTTATTAGGGGCGACGAAAGGAAGCAACCGGTAAAAAACGTTCCATCTTGTGTACATTTAGAGACTGATGTAGCAGAATACTGGACTTTGGCTGATGTTGTTGGCGACGGGGCTTTTGGAAACGTTTACAAGGCCATTTTCAAAGCTGATCCTAATAAGATAGCTGCAGCGAAGGTGTAATTTCTGTACTTACTGTTAAACGTCTGTATTTTAATTATTACTAGCCTAGACTTCATCAAGTACAGGAAAATTTTAGATGATGAGAAAATTTGCAAGTATATTTAGGTTTTTATTTTTGCTTCTATTCTTTTCTTCTTTAGAAGTTATTCTTCAAGTAAATTGCTAAATCTTTGACAGTCATGAACTGGGTTTTACTATAAGTGCCAGCTTTTTGTTAGTTGATAGAAAACCATCAATTTGAGTCGTCTGCTCTGCATTCTTGGTTATTTAAAAGTCTCAGGTTCCTGATTAATATCTATTGCAATTTTTTTAGATTTTTTGAGCGCTGCGCTTTGAATACTTCTTGAATCTCGCAGCTTTATTAATTCTGTTGAGTTATGCAACCTCTTTTTTCAGCATTTCTCAGAAATATTGTCTCTTTACCTAATTCCTAATGGTTCAAAGCTGGTTAGGTTGATCTTTTGTTCTTTCTTTGATAGATTTTTCCAATTTTTTCAGTTCCTTTGTTTATGTTCGACTACTCTTTCTAATCGTTGCCCAAGACCAATATTTGGGTTTTTTTTTACAGTTATCTGGGTAATTTTTTAGCCTTACGGTATTATACAACCATCTCATTTAATGACCGCTCATCTGCTTCTTTTGCATTGTCAAATCCAGAAGCAGTACTAATGTCCTTGCATGAAAAAATTATCTTTAATATCAATAATTCTCTTTAGTCTATGGAACTAGAGGATGATGAGGGCACTGACGTGATGGTTGAAGTTGAGATCTTGTCAAAATGCAAACACCCGAACATCGTTGGTCTTTATGAGGCTTATACACTTGGCAATCGCATTACTGTATGCATGTTTACTTTCTGATGTCACTCATGTTGACTTCCTATTATTGTCAAATTTTTTATTTTTCAGCTTCTACTCGAATTTTGTGGAGGCGGTGCTGTAGACAGTATCATGATTGAACTATCTCGAGGTTTGACAGAAGTACAAATTCATTATGTGATGAAAGAAATTTTAAAAGCTTTAAAATATCTTCATAGCCAGAATGTTATACATAGAGATCTGAAAGCGGGAAATGTGTTGCTCACAACCAATGCAGAAGTCAAATTAGGTAATTAATTTGTAATAAATTTTTAAGCTTTTTAATTCCTGTTTTACTATCAAGAATGTTATCAGTTTGTCATGAAAATAGCAGGTTTCAGCTACTGTTATTAGCTGTTATCTTATGTGTCGACCACTGTTTGTGAGAGATTTCAAAAATGAATCTGAAATTCATAATTTTTAGAAGTGTTTCCATCTTTTATGTAGTATATAGGCAAACTTTAAAATTTTCGATTTTTGGTATTTATTCGCTGCAATAATTTGTTCTTCAGCTGATTTTGGCGTATCTGCCTTGTGTAAGGAAGCTAATGAAGAACGGTCAACATTCATTGGTACTCCTTATTGGTAATTTTTTACATACCGTTTTTCCAACAACTTATATCTTACTGATTATCTTATATTAGACTAAGAGTGTTTGTAGTATTTCGGTAAACTGCTTTAGAAATGTTTCTAGGATGGCTCCTGAGGTTATGTTGTGTGAAACATTTCCGGAAAAAAAATATGGCAATGCCGCTGACATATGGAGTTTTGGTATCACTCTTATAGAAATGGCGGATGAAAGACCTCCATACTCAGAAATGAACCCTGCTAAAGTTGTGTTCAAGGTTTGCCGTAGTTATTTCGAGTTTGGCACTGTGATTGAAGTTATTGCGATTTGTGTCCGCCTATGGTTTAAAATTTCTTCAATGAATTTTTTTCCTTTTAGATAATAAAAGCTGATCCTCCGACATTAGAAAAGCCTGGCCTGTGGACTAGTAATTTCAAGGATGTTATAGCTAAATGCCTAAATAAGGATCGTCTCAAACGTCCCACAGCGGCTGAACTTTTGTGTGTATGTTCTTTTTATTTCTGTTATCGATTTTTTTCTAGTTAACTTTCAAGAATGCTTTTTTATTACTCAGTGCTGTTGGTTCATTGACGTGCTTCCTACATTTCCTTTTAAGCAGTATATTATTTTAAAGCACCCGTTTTTCGATAAAGAAGGAGATGTACGCTCGGTTCAGCGTTTAATTTACGAAATGAATGCGGAACAAGTGACTACAGAAGTAATGGAACCAGAATTTGATGAGGATGACGATACATCATCATCTATTGACCTCCGCAGCGGTGGGGATACGCACAATGAATTAATTGAGGTATTAACAAAGTAATTCAGTACGAAAAAACTAAATTCTGTTCATTTAAATTACATATAATCAATTTAAATTTCGCCTCGTCTTTACTCATGCATTTATTTCTTGATTTTTTCGTTTCTTCAGTTACTTGGAGAAGAAAAGGGACGTACATTTATAAAAAGTATAAAAGGTGATGAATTGGGAATTTTGGATGTTCCGAAGAGTGCACCAGTGGATATTTTGAACGAGGAACAAAAGATGGACAGATTAGCAGCGAGTGAGGCTGCTTTGGAGACAAAAGAGGAAGAAGAAGAGTGTGAAGAGACTGTGCTTTCGAAAGAGAAGTCATTTGAAGAAGAGCCTATCAATGAAGCTGTCAAACTTAAGGAAACAAGTGATCATCAAGAAAAAATTACTTCCTTGGTCACATTAAACAAGGGCGTTATTAATTCCACGCAGCTTTCTGTCGTTTGTTCAGCTGATAAAGCTACTGTACTGACTACGGAAATTTCGTTACCTTCGCCTAGTGTTAGTAAGGTAAGAACAGTTATCTCCCAACCAAAGCCGTTGTAATCTGTTACAAGTTTATAAATATTGTGGCCCACGGATATCTCTGGTTATTCACTTTTAGGCGACAGCAGAGGAAACTTTCGCAGTTGGCCCATTAAGTCCTTATGGCCACGCAGCATGCGTAAATGCTCTGAACGATTTGGACAATGCACTGAACAGTGAGGAGTCGTACGCACCAGGTAAAAAGATTATGGTTATATGTGGCTAAAAACTAAAAATTTTCAAAAAGCGACGTTAAACGTAGCATAAAATGACTTTTTTCCAGTAACAGTGAAAGAAGCTGGGATACCTGATGAACCAAAAGGGGTCGCTCCTACTTTATCGTTTAATCTTGAAGACTCCTCTTCAGATAAAGAGCATAATTCCAAAAAAAAGTTACTTATTCCTAATAGTCCTCCAACCCATAAAATCCGGGATATTGTGGGACAGGCGAAACTTGGTGGTTATGTTTCTGAAAAAGAGGAGAAGAAACCACTAAACATGCCTGTCTCGCTAGTTTCATGGGACGCATTCTTTAGAAGAATGGCACCAACAGAACGTGTGGAACGATCCATCATATCTGACAAAAATGCTATTTCGCCAACTCAGTTTATAAGAACAAATGTATGTCCACGTATTTTGCACAGTTGAGCTAGAAAAAAAGATGTTTTTTCTGTTTTTCATTCAACTGAGCATTTCACTGTGCTGGAAAGATTTTTTATTGTAGAGAATACAAGCCAGTTTTAAAGAGGCGTCTGGTTCAAATGATCTTGAACGTCGGACAACAAATGTTGACCGAGAATCTCAGGTGATTTTAATGGAGGATTGCTTGAAAAAATGCCTTCTAAAATGCGGCTTGTAATCTTATTTTTATGAGATGGGTTTGCAATTACTTTCAGCTTCTTATTCTTTCTTCTGTTTTAGGAGCTAATTTTTCGTCACTCCGGAAGTTCGAGGTCTAGAAGTGAGGTGCAAAGCGTCCCCGATATTGCTTCCGCAGGGCAACTTGCACAACTTGCTGAAGTGCCTGAGGTGATTTTTCGAAGAAACAGTTTTTTCTAAGCGATGGATATATGTATATATAGTTGGGTCTTTCCACGCCAAATCGTCCACTTTTGTACCTCTACATCTCAAGTTTTTTTATTTTTTGCATACTTGTATTACTTGATACTCGATACTGGATCTTGAAATCAAAAGAGTTCACTTCAATAAGTGCGCAGGCAGCAAAGTTAGACCGCTTTAAGATGCGAAGAGAAAACGCAATTCACTTTTGACGTGGTCAGGTTCAAGAACTTGTAGTTTTTTTAGTCGCGACGGATTTTCCTCATTTTTACTTCGTTTGAAAGCAGGTCTGCAAATTAAAAAAAATGATGAAGTGTTTACATTATCAATTTTCATTCTGTATTAAAATAAAAACGAAAATTCAAAACGTCTTTTATCAAAAAAAATTTCTTCAAATTTAAAAAAAACATGTTTCGAAGAAATAATTTCTGCATAACATATAAAAACTGCATCTTCTTGGTATCAAGAGTTTGGTACGATTAGTGGTAACAGACCGGAAAAAAACTAGTTGAAGCAACATTTAGGCGCTTTCGCAAGTGACAGAACCTTCGTTTCAACTAAACTTTCATCACTTGTGATAATATTTATAATTCGTGTAAAACTCTTTAACCCTACTACTTGAGTAACAGAAAATTAGTTTAAATTTATTTGCTTTTAAACAGTCTTACAAACTTTTTTTTTTTTTAAATTGCTCTTACGATTACTTTTTGGTTTGTATCGCTTTGCTCGCTCAAGCGTTTTGAGTTATTTTCTATTTTAATTTGAAACAAACTTTGCTATTGTAAGCGAGTCACCATTTTTTGAATCTGTAGGAAACAGGTTTTTAAGCAAAAGAAAAATAAGGGATATCCTTTGCGAAGTGAGAAAAATATAAGTGTTTAAAGATAACCATTTCGAGGGTGAATTGCGTTTTTTTTTGCAATTAGAGCGGTCTAACAAAGTAAACTCTTTCCGTTTCAAAATCCGGTATCAAGTGCTACAAGTGGGCAAAAAAAGGGAAGAAATCTGAGACGTAGAGAGCCAGATGTGTGCAACTTTACGTGGAACGT